TTTTCTAGTGCTGTATGTAACACATATATGAGGTTTTACTATATTATCATCATCTTAGCCAAAGCTATCATTATCTTCTTCCTCTTACATAAATAGCGTAGAAGAAGCGGTGCGGACCGTGAGCAACTTGGAGGACAAGGGGCGAGTGAGTACCTCGGCCTTTCTCTTCGGATATGGCGACGGAGGAGGCGGCCCCACGCAGGACATGCTGGAGAGGGCCAGGAGGCTCAAGGATACGGACGGATGCCCGAAGTAAGCGTCCTTCGGGAGAGAGAAAGAAGAAAGTGAGGAGAGAGAAAGAGAAAGAGAGAGACAGAGACAGAGACAGAGAGAACGAAATAAAGAGGAATTATCTCCACCAAACCCAAATATACCTCTCCGCTCTTAATACATTCGAATATTCCAAATGACGTATACCCTCTCCCTTAGATCTATATTTGCTTTCATACTCACCCCCACTCCCTCTCCCACCCCCCATCTTCCCTTGTGCGTCCCATGTGCCTGTAGTTTTCCAGAGCTGACGTGGCCGGTGAATCACATCCCCTGGAAAGGTCGTCCATGCATTGTATAGTAGATCGGACAAGCATCGCAGGCGTAAAGGTCATTTCTGTCTCCTGTGTCCAAGTCCCTTGCACTCTCTACACCTTTCCTCTTTCTTCACTCGAGGAATCCAAGCTTGGAAATGCGAAGGATGTAGTGTTCTTTGATATCCGTCTCTCTCTCTCTCTCTCTCTCTCTCTCTCTCTCTCTCTCTCTCTCTCTCTCTCTCTCTCTCTCTCTCTCTCTCTCTCTCTCTCTCTCTCTCTCTCTCTCTCTCTCCCTCCCTCTGTGTGTGTGTGTGTGTGTGTGTGTGTGTGTGTGTGTGTACGTGTGTGTGTGTGTACGTGTGTGTGTGTGTGTGTGTTTGCGCGCGTGTGTGTGTGTGTGTGTGATGTGTGTGTGTGTGTGTGTGTGTGTATGTGTGTGTGTGTGTGTCTGCTTCTCTCTCTCTCTCTCTCTCTCTCTCTCTCTCTCTCTCTCTCTCTCTCTCTCTCTCTCTCTCTCTCTCTCTCTCTCTCTCTCCTCTCTCTCTCTCTCACTCTCTCACCTTCACACTATTTTCGTCATCTTCCCTCTCATTCCTTATTTTATCTATATTTGTATTTCTTCATTTAAGATCCCCTTTCCATCCCCCTTCACTTTCGAACCTCCTTTTATCTTCTTCCCTTCCTGACTGCCCTTTTTATTCTGTTCTTCCTCCTCCTCAAGAATGAACATCGTCACCCCCGACGTGCTATTCTCCACCCTGGAGAACGAACAGCATAACATGTGTCGTTGGGTTGGAGAATTGTACCTTGAGCTGCACAACGGTACTTACACTAGCCAGGTACGTATTTGTGTAAAGAACCCGTCGTATGGTATTTTGTGAGGTTGTAATCGTATCGTATTTTGTGAGGTTGTAATTGTATTGTATTTTGTGAGGTTGTAATCGTATGGTATTTTGTGAGGTTCCAGTGAATTATAAGTACGAGGTGCTGTGTTTACATTTTTGTTAGCAAGGAATTTATTGATTGGTAGAGAAACTGGTATTATGTTTTTGTAAGTGTATTCAATGATAACTAGAGCTTTGTTGAGCCTCGAAGGATGTGTGTGTGTGTGTGTGTGTGTGTGTGTGTGTGTGTGTGTGTGTGTGTGTGTGTGGGCGGAGGATGGGAATGCATGTTTAAATGGCAACATCATAACCCGTTCCCAGTTTTTTTTTTTTCAAATATTGATGCAAATTAGGTGTAGAAATCGGCGTGAATAATTAACTCATTAAGCGAAATTAGGTGAAACGGATCTCGCTTTTCATTAATTATTATTAATCATATGTTTCTAATTGTGTGTAAATGATGCAGCAATTTAGCTTTATTGTGTATGTAAGCACTTGAGTAATTGAGAGCATGAAAATTATGATAATTATTATCATAATAATACTGATAATAGTAATGATAATTATGATGATAATGATACTCGTAATGATAATAATGATAATGGGAATAATGACAATAATGATAACAATAATAATATTCATAATTATCATTATTATTATCATTATTATTATCATTATTATTATTATTATAATGGTGATAATGATAATGATGAAATAATGATAATAATAATAATAATAACAATAATAATAATAATAATAATAATAATAATAATAATAATAATGATAATAATAATAATAATAATAATAATAGTAATAATGATAATAATAATAACACCAATAATAACAATAGCAGTAGTTATGAAAATAGTAATAATAATGATAATTATAATTATTATTATAATGACGATAAAATAATAATGATCATGATGATAACAATAATAATTGCTAAAAATATGTAATGACAAATAATAATGATAATAACAATAATAATGATGATAATAATGATAATGAAATAAATAGTGATAAAAATAAAAACGATAATATTAATGAGAATAAGGATAACAACAATAATAATAAAAGTAGTAATAATAACAATAATAGTAATAACGATGATGATGATGATAATAATGATAATAATAATAACAATAATTATAACAATGACAATGATAATAACGATAATAATGATAATGATTATGATAACACAGCAATGAGAACAATATTGATGATGATAATGATAGTAATAATAATAATGATAATAATGATAACAATAATAATAATAACAATAATAATAATAATGATAATAATAATAATAATAATAATTATAGTAAATGATAATAATAATGAAAATTATTATCATTGTTGTTATTATTATTACCAATATTATTATTATTATTATTATTATTATTTATTACATCTTTATTGCTGTTATCAATAATAATAATAATAATAACAGTAATAAAGATAATGATATTGATAATGAAGATAATAATAATGATATTGATAATGAAGATAATAATAATGATATTGATAATGAAGATAATAATAATGATGACAATAACGACAATGACAATAATCATAGTTTCACAAATAATGATGATAATGCTATTGATAATCACCCCTTCCATCCCTCCTCCCTTCCCCACCCTAGGCGGATATGAAGAGGCTGTGCAGGAGTGCGGAATTCCACCTTCGCGACGCCGAGTTCCTCCTGAGTACCGCTTCGGCCTCGCTGGGGGTCGCCGCTTCAGCCCTTCTCCAGGCGTGAGTTACGTGCGGTTATGTGCGGTTTTGGGCGGTTTTATGCGGTTTCATGCGGTTTTTGGGCGGTTTTTGGGCGTTTTGGGGCGTTTTTTGGGCGGTTAGTGTTGTAGTTGTTATTGTTGTTTTTGCTGTTGGTGTTGGCTAATGTTTTGGTTTTGTTCTATTATCATTATTAGTTTTATTATTATCATTATCATTATTATTATTGTTATTATCATTATTATTATTATCATTATTATTATTTTTATTATCATTATTATTATTATTATTATCATTATTATTATTATTATTATCATTATTATTGTTATTATCATCATTTCTTATAAGGAGGATGGTGTACATGTTTTTTTTATCTCTGTTGTTTCAAATCTTCCTTTCGATTTTGCGTTCCAATAATATAACATTTTTTCTTCAATATCACTTCATCTCGTATTCAATTAACAATTTCAGAAAGAGAATGGTCTACTTCAATCGATGTTCTTCTGTGCTTTTCTTTTCTTTTCTTTTTCTTTTCTTTTCTTTTTTTTCTTTCTTTTTTATATATATTCTATTAAGGGTTAGGTTGTTAGGCGTTTCAATCAGCTTGGGGGGGGGGGGGGGGGTGTGTGTGTGTGTGTGCGTGTGTATGTGTGTGTGTGTGTGTGTGTGTGTGTGTGTGTGTGTGTGTTTGTGTTTATGTGTGTGTGTGTGTTTGTGTTTATGTGTGTGTGTGTGTTTGTGTTTATGTGTGTGTGTGTGTGTGTGTGTGTTTGTGTGTGTTTGTGCTTATGTGTGTGTGTGTGTGTGTGTGATTAAGCCTCTGTAGTCACATGCATTTTTATACATGCGTGAGTCATAGCTATGTATGTGTATGTATGTTTGTATGAGCATGTATTAGTATATGTGTGTAGCTATATGTGTACGCATGTAATTTGAATCAAGGCCTAGGACTGTCTCCAATCATAACCGGAATATCTTACAAATACCACACCAATACAGAATCGAGAAGTTCCACCAGTCGTCCTGTATTCATGAAAATGTATTATTTAGGTATTGATGTCTCTGAACCCCAAGTTACAGTCCATATCTGTACTTTATGGTATTATACTACGTAATCATTTTCTCACACCCAGTGTACCCTTCGAACTGGAAAACGTATTTCAAATATTGCTAATACAGTACTAAATACAGGTCGATGGTTCGTATTCATACATCATCAGCATCTGTGTTGTGCTGTATTTGTGCCTTCGATCTGCCGTCGCTTATCAATACAAAACTTCCGGTATCAAAATGCTACTCTGACCGTCTTACTTCTACACTAACGTCTCTCTCTCTACCTTTCTATCTGTCTATCTCTTTGTCTCTTTCTCTCTCTCCCTCTCTCTCTTTATCTCTCTCTCTCTCTCTCTCTCTCTCTCTCTCTCTCTCTCTCTCTCTCTCTCTCTCTCTCTCTCTCTCTCTCTCTCTCTCTCTCTCCCTCCCTCTCTCTCTCCCTCTCTCTCTCTCTCTCTCTCTCTCTCTCTCTCTCTCTCTCTCTCTCTCTCTCTCTCTCTCTCTCTCTCTCTCTCTCTCTCTCTCTCTCTCTCTCTCTCTCTCTCTCTCTCTCCCTCCCTCAATCCCTCTCACAGTCCCTCCCTCCTTTTCATCACTCTGTTTTCCCCTCTCTCTTTCCGTCCTCCCTCCCTCCCTCCCTCCCTTCCTCTATCCCTCTCTACCTCTCTCCCTTTTCCTCCCTCTTTATCTCTCTCTTTTCTTCCCCTCTCTCTTTCCCTCCTTTCTTCCCTTCCCCAGCCTTCCCTCTCTCTCCCTCCCTCCCTCCCTCCCTCCCTATCTTTTTATCCCTCTGTGTTCCCCTCTATCCTCCCGTCACTTCCCTACACCCTTCCACTCACGGCCTCTCCTCCCCCCCCCCTCCCATCAGTTCCTTGGAGTCCCTAGACAGCGCGTGGAAGAAGGTCCTCCTCAATCAATTCCACGACGTCCTTCCTGGCTCTGGTATCGGTATCATCTACCCCGAAGCGACGAGGTACTACGAAGAAGCCATCGCCGCCGCTATGGGGGTGTGGCACGACTCAGCAGACGCTTTGTTTGGTGCGTTCGAGTATAAAGATTTCTTGTCTCTTTGGCTCTCTGTTTCTGGTTTCTGGTCTCTCGAAGTGTGTTGGTTTAGGGTTAAAAAAATTCTCTCTCTCTCTCTGTCGCTCTCTATTTCTGTGTTCTGTTTTCTGGAAGTGTGTTGGTTTGAGGTTAAAAAAAATAATAATAAAAAAAAAGATTCTCTCTCTCTCTCTCTCTGCCGCTCTCTATTTCTATTTTGATTTTGATATTTATTTCGTGAGAACTTTGTTAGGTTTAGTAGAACTCGACACCTGTATCTATAAGTTCATTTATTTTAGTTTATTTTGTGTTGTATTGCCTCATGTTTTATTATGTCTTCACCTTTGAAGAATCGAAACCCATATTAATTCTTTACCGTTCCGTAGCACATAAGGATTTCTATATGTCTTTGTACATAATAGGGAATAATGAACTAATTTCGATCTTTTCTTACTGTCCGAATACGTTCTCCATGAACTGCTCTGTGATTTTGGTGACTCACATTAATGAAAATGAGACCGGGCAGGGAAATGGCTAAAATAACCGTTAGCATTATTACCTCCGCCAAGGAGGTTATGTTTTTGACGGCGTTGGTTTGTTTGTTAGCAGCCTTGCTCAAAAAGTGCTGGCCGGATTTCATCGCATTTTTGGGGACAAGTCAGAAAGGGAATAACTTAGAACTGATTAAATTTTGGTGACATTCCGAATTACCGTCTGGTTATTATTATTATTATCATTATTTAATCAATAAACAAGTTCCCTACACAAATCTACGGTAAACATGTGCCACATTTCACTGACATTCCGAATTACCGTCTGGACGCAGCAGCGATGTAAGTACATTATATACGCACCTTGGCGGAAATCTGCACTCTCTGAGTGCTTTTCTAGTTGTATTTATTATGACATTATTATTTGTACAACTATTACTGTACTATTACTGCTACTACCACTACTACTACTATTACTACTAATATTACTACTATTACTACTATTACTACTACTACTACTACTACTACTACTACAACAACAACAACAACAACAACTTCTACTACTACTACTACTACTACTACTACTACCACTACAACTACTACCACCACCACCACTACTACCCACTACTACTTTCCACCGCAGGGAGCGGCGGTGAGCAGACCTGGACCGCCTTCAACACCCTCCAGTGGGCCCGCGAGGAGGTGGTGGCGGCCCAGACACGGAGCGGCGGCGAAGAGGAACGTTCCGCGGGTTACGTTCTTGTCCAAGCGCCGCCCCTGGGATATGCCGTTCTAGAAGGGGTCAGCCCGACGAGTCCTGTTAGTCTCAGTGAGTGGTGATGTTGGGGTTTTTATTATATGTTTATTATTTTATTTTGTTGTTTTCTTTGCAATTTCTTCTTTCGATTTTTTGTTATCTATCTATCTATCTATCTATCTATATATATATATATATATATATATATATATATATATATATATATATATATATATATATATATATATATATATATATATATATATATATTTACTTATTTATTATATATGTCATATACAATTATTATGTAAATTTATTATTTTATCTGTTTGTTTTTGTTTTTGTTTTTGTCTTACTGTGATTTCTTCTTTCGACTTTTTTTTCGATTATGTAAGTGATGTTTATTTGTCTTCTTCTTCTTCTTTCTACTTTTTTATTTGTATGTTTCTTTTTTCTTTAACGTTTACTCTCATATTCAGTCTGCTCTATCTCCGTTTCTGTTCATCTATTATTTGCTCTTTTTTCTTCCGATTTATCTATTTACTAATTGATCCGTTTTTCTACCGATTCATCGACTTTCCGATCTCTATCAATAACTGCTTCTATTCATCTCTCAATCCATCTATCCATCTATCTGCCTCTCCATCTATCCCTTCCTTCCTTCCTTCTCTCTCATGAATTATGAATCTCAACCTTTTCAACGAACAATTCTCTCCCTCCCCTTCCCCCCCCCCTGTCCTTCCCCCTCCCTCTCCCCTCCGTCTTGGCCCTGGCTACCAGCTGAGACAGATGGCCTTTTCGTGCTGGACAACGGCCTGCTCCGAGCCGAAATCAACGCATACGGACAGGTGGTGAGCTTAGTGACAGCTGGAGACTACCGCGACGTGTTCAGGAAGGAAGATGGTTCCCAGCTGGCGGGCAATCAGCTGGTTCTCTTCGACGACGAACCGCTTGTCTTCGATGCCTGGGATGTGATGGACTACCACCTGGAGACGCCCGTGGTT